GTTTTCGCTTCGTTCTTGACAGAGATCCTCACAATCGAAGGTCGATGACCCACCAAAGACACAGCATCCTCCATGATTACAGAATCAAGAAACCCTAATTCAATCCCAAGTCTCAAAATCGCCTTAATCGTCGAGAGCTCTTTTTTTTTCTAGGCTTTGTCGAAAATGACTTTTTTTTTTACTCCCCCAGCCACTGCCACGTCATGCCACGTCAGTAAGGATCAGTCTCGTGAATCCTTGTTAACGTTACCAATCCTTAAGTAAATTGCCATTAATATTAGTATTATATTCAAATAATGTTAAGGATCAGTGTGATGTTACCGCGTTGGAGGTGGTCTAAGGATTAGTCCTTAGATTTATTAGACAAATTAGTAATATTATATTGAATTAACCCTAAGGATTAATGTTAAGGATTCCCCACGTTTCTGCGTTGGAGGTGGTCTAATAATAAAGGAAATATTGTTTCCTTTTTTTTTAATGCTGATTGTATTATTGGATTTACTGAGAATGTAACAATGATAAAGTTCCCAAACGAAACAAACCAAAACAAGAACAAACACCAGTAGAATGATAAACATTTACTCCAATCTTAATCATGACCAAACGTTAACTTTTAATAAATTGTTATTTTAAGTTTCAAAAAAAAAAAAATTGTTATGAATATATAAAATAGAATGATAAAAGAATAATAACGATTGTGGAACATGTGGTCCCATGACAAATATTTTCCATGAAAATAAACATTTACTCCAAACTTATTCATGAACAAATGTTAACTTTCAATAAACTGTTTTGTATTTATGCGATAAATATATAAAATAGACTTATAAGAGATTTATAACAATTGTAGGAAGGAACAAGAAGAATAGTGTCCGATAGCAAAATATTTTTCCATGTAAATAAAACATTTACTCAAGACACAAACATAAGTTTGAAATTTTAAAATTCAAGTTCCTTTATCTCATCAGTTTTCCATTGCTCATTGGACAACTTAAACAACGAATGTTAACTTAATTAAGGTTATTTTCAAATTGATAAATCGTTTAATACAAATATCAATACTATAAATATAGAATTATATCAAGTTTTGACCTACGATATAAAAACTATTTACAGCGAAAAAAAAACACATACTTTTACACACTAAAAACTATATTATAGCCTAACTATTCCTATAAACATTACTTTGCATATAAATAACATTTAACACATTCCTAATATATTTTCAAAAAAAATTGTATGTGAAAGAAAATAAAATAAACAACAAAATTTAAGTATTTTTGTTATTTATTAAATGAATATGTAATTTCTCTTACATTTTAATAACTACTATAATTTCATTGAAAACATTCCTGACCACCGACTCCAGACTTCGGCGTATGGATTCTCACAGTCGATGACGCCGTAGATAAAAATGCCACATCATTTATGAACAAAACTCAAACTTACAAAAAACCATATATAAAAACCTATCTAATGAAACTTAAACAACGAATATTTATTTAATTAAGGTTATTTTTAAATTGATAAATTGTTTAATACAAATATAAATACTATAAATATAGAATTATATCAAGTTTTGACATACGATATAAAAACTATTTACAGCAAAAATAAAAAATTAGACGCTTACTTTTACACACCAAAAACTATATTATAGCCTAACTATTCCTATAAATCTTACTTCGCATATAAATAACATTTAACACATTAGATATACAATATTTTCACTTTACACTCTTACTACATTCTTTCCATTTCATTATTATTTGGTGTCATTAGAAGAATCCACTAAACCAACAATCGAAAAAATATACGCAAACATAATGATCTCGGCTCCGCGCTTGCGTGGGGAGTATGCAACTAGTTAATTTAACTTATTACATCATTCATTATCAAACAAACGTTCAACTTCGTGATCCCGCAGAGAAAATCATCAGGCAAAGAATCGAGAGAAACTCTTCGTTTGTTCCCTTTTCCAGCTTTAAAAACGATAAAATCAGAGAAAATTTGAAATTTATAAATCTTATTGTTTCCTTTGCGCTTTTATTTCTCTCGTTTAAATTTGTTTATGTGGATATTACTACTTATACCGGTTTTTGTATTCCACCATATGTTTTCTCCATCAAATATTTTATAAAATTTAGAACAAAAAAAAATCTTATCCTCAACCCGTGTAGGAGATTGTATCCATAATGAGAATATGTTTATTACAAACTGTTTGTCAACCGAACAGTGGCTTCTTTGCTGGATCAAGAGCTCACTTGAACCGGTTTCTTCTTCTTTTTGGAGTTGTTTATGGGTCGGACCTTTACAAAAGCGTTTTGTAAATCCTGCAAAACCAAAAAAAAAAAGAAAGGTTTCGTTGGAAACTGAATAAAAGAGCATTATTAACACACAAACCATTGTAAAAAGATGAACACCTCACAAACTTTCAGAGATCCTAAATGAGAATCTCTAGTACTAGCACGAGAATAATGCACAATGTAAAAGAGCAACACAAGCAGGCTTATAGAGAGATCGTGGGGTGGGTGTCTTTTGATAAATGCAAATAAAATCCCAAAAACAGAACAAGAGAAGCATTATAGTAGTAGTCTAGATTAGTTAATCCAAGAAGTATAAATGTGTTTTTTAGGTTTTTCTAAGTTATTTTCTCAGAAAAAAATGACTTTCACATGTTTTAAAATTTAATTTTTTTTTTCTAAAAACTCCATCCATAATAGATAATTCCATTGGAGAAACATTTGTGAATAGAATCCTTAATTATTTAAAAAACAATTATTATATTATTAAAGACTCCAATGGTGGGTAGCATCATTAAAGATGCTCTAAGAGCAACATTATCAAAGGGATTTGGGCCGTCCTTTAGATATTTTTTGGCCAAAAACAAATCAATAATGTTAAGGAACCTTGCAAAAGGTCCTTAATTAAGGGATGTACGGCGTCGTCCCTTGCTTCTTCTCTCTCGACAATTCCGCGTCTCTCTCTGCTGTCTTTCCTCGTTTGAACCATCCTCTCTCCTTCTCTCTCGGTTTAGTTTCTGTGTGGGGGAAAGTATATTCCTTTTGGATTGATCTGATCATATAAAGTCAGAGATATATGATCTGCGATTTGGGGTTTATGTAAAGCTGATAAAGTTGTTTCCTTTTGATCTTATTTTTCAGTGGGAACATTGTTTGGAGCAGTCACAGGAGCTTTAATAGGTCAAGAAACAGAGAGTGGTTTCATCCAAGGAGCTGCGGTTGGAGCCATATCAGGAGCTGTTTTCTTGATTGAAGTCTTTGAGTCATCTCTTGTTCTCTGGAAATATAATGAGTCACGTTTCGGTTGCCTCCTCTACTTGGTAAGAGCTTTTTTAACAGTTTGAAACCACTCTTTTGCTCTGTTTTCAGAAACCGATTATATTGTTTCTTTGTTAATGTTTTGGTGTAGATTGATGTTATTGTTAGTCTTATAAGTGGTAGACTTGTACGAGATTGAAAGAGATGAATCTCTCCGTGTTCTTGATTGTGTTTCATATGTTTTGTTGTTCATCAGATGGGAGCTGTGGATGCAATTTTCGATGAACTCTAGTATCTTTGACACTGGTGGCTCAAAGGGATTAACAGGAGATGTGGTTAATAAAATTCCCAAAATCAAAATCACTGGCAAAAACAGTTTAGATGCTGCTTCTGGCAACAACGACTCTTGTTCTGTTTGTCTTCAGGTACTTTCAGCTCTTATGAACAACCCTAAAATTCAGAACACAAAAAGATTTAATGTCTTTGTTTCTTGTGTGGGAATTATGCAGGATTTTCAGATTGGTGAAATGGTAAGAAGTTTGCCACAATGTCATCACATGTTTCCTGTAGGAACTTTAAGTTGTTGATGTTTATGTAAGGGATAAGGTTGAGTCCCACCAATAATCAACTCATTTAACAAAAACCCTTAACTTAGTCCCTAAACATAAAAATAATACTAAACAATGTTAAGGGCTCTAAAACAAATCCCTCTGATAATGTTGCTTAAGCACAACATACATCGGACGTATACAACTATACTAATAATAAAGGTAATATTGTTTCCTTTTTTTTATGCTGATTGTTTATTGGATTTACTGAGAATATAACAAGGATAAAGTTCCCAAACGGAACAAACCAAAACAAGAACAAACACCAGTAGAATGATAAACATTTACTCCAAACTTAATCATGAACAAACGTTAACTTTTAATGAATTGTTATTTTATGTTTCAAAAAAAAAAGAAATTGTTATGAATATATAAATAGAATGATAAAAGAATAATAACGAATGTATAAAGGAACACATAGTCCAATGACAAATATTTACCATGAAAATAAACATTTACTCCAAACTTATTCATGAACAATTGTTAACTTTCAATAAACTGTTTTGTATTTTTGCGATAAATATATAAAATAGACTGATAAGAGATTTATAACAATTGTAGGAAGGAACAAGAAGAATAGTGTCCGATAGCAAAATATTTTTCCATGTAAATAAAACATTTACTCAAGACACAAACATAAGTTTGAAATTTTAAAATTCAAGTTCCTTTATCTCATCAGTTTTCCATTGCTCATTGGACAACGAATTGTCGTATAAACCCCTACCCCACATACGTCCCCTCAACTCGTTGCATGTCTCGCAATGATTTGGACACACGATAAACGTGTCAAGCTTTTGAGTGGCAGTTTGTACGTTATTTTCGGTATCTAAACCTATCGACTTTATGTAATTATTGAAGTATTCTTTATTAAATCCTTTAGAATCTATGTAAAAGCAATGTAAAAGATTTAGGTTCTTGAGGTTTTGGTGATAAGTGACAAGCCACAGTAATGCCCTTGACCATAAAGCTGTACCTCGTAAGCTTAAATTCTTCAGGTTTGAGAAGTACCTCACAATTTGAACGGCTAAGTAATTGTTTAACGGCCAGATAAGCTTTAGGCTGGTGAGGCTCTTGCAGTTCTCTCCAATGGCTCGAAAGTTAGCATTTGAAAAGGGTAAACCAGGTTTAGTAATGACTAACGTTTGGAGATTCTTCCACTGGCTGAATGTAAACATAAGTGCACTCTCATTTATATTACGATAAAGCGGCAGTGATAATTTTTGTACGTTTGGCATCCTGAAAAAAAAACAAGAAAATAAACACAAAAGATTGGACGATACCACAATTTTTTCTATGATATTGTGTGCAAAACTGTTTTAGGAATATAACTTACCTTGGAGCAATGATCGCGAGTTCCTCCTCTTGTATATAGTAACAGTTATCAAAAACTAGATTTGTCGTGACTGAGCTGTTAAATTTAGTTATCTCAGCCAATATATTTCTGAGCTCATATTGGTGTTCTTCGTCATTAGACAGATCGTCTGCCTTATCGGGATTTTTTGAAATAATTGACTTGATATTACTTAAGTCTATAGTCTTCCATAGAGCTTTGTCGTGAGAAGCAAGGAACCAAGAGACGCAGACCCGAGACACCCCTTTGATGATATCGATAACGTTGAGCATCCCAAATATCTTGGCTAATATGTTTCTCTCCATATCTTCCCAACCGGAGATCTTTCCTAAGCTATTTGGTGTCTCCATCTCAGTGCCACTAAAAGCAGTCCTAAATAATAGAGCTTTGTAAAGATTGACGTTCAGAAACTTTTAAGAAAGTGACAATAGATTTGAGTCACCGATTTCTTAGAACAATAGAAAGAGACAATCAAAAGAGTTGAGGAAATGTTAACAATTTATAGAGAAGTCATTGGACACATATAGGGGATTTACTTCTAAGGATTGTAACCATTTCTGAGTTATATTAAATGAGCACAGATATTTAATGATAAGGTATAATGAAATACTATAACAATTACATTAAAGTTAAAAGAAAAACTTGTTTGGCCTATAAAACTTTGGCTATTATATTAAATGAGCACAGATATTTTATGATGAGGTAAAATGAAATACTATAACATTTACATTAAAGTTAAAAAAAAAAATAACTTGTCTGGCCTATAAAACTTTGGATATTATATTAAATGAGCACAGATATTTTATGATGAGGTATAATGAAATACTATAACATTTACATTAAAGTTAAAAAAAATAACTTGTCTGGCCTATAAAACTTTGGATATTATATTAAATGAGCACAGATATTTTATGATGAGGTATAATGAAATACTATAACATTTACATTAAAGTTAAAAAAAATAACTTGCCTGGCCTATAAAATTTTGGATATTATATTAAATGAGCACAGATATTTTATGATGAGGTATAATGAAATACTATTACAAAATTACATTAAAGTTAAAGAAAAATTTGTCTGGCCTATAAGTAACCCATTAAGAGATATTTTTCCAAAAAAAGTTATAAGCAATTTAATAAAAGGGATATATTACTTAATTATCTATATGTTTGATATTAAATAAATTGTTAAAATTAAATAAGAAGGTTATTTATAAATAGTAGTATATTTGTATATAACTAAATAAGATATGTAAGTAATCTAAGTCCAGTATAATATTGAGCCGGACCTAGTTTCTCACACTTTACGTGTTTATGCAGTGAGGCGAGATATGTGATTTAATAGTATAACAAAAAAAGGATGAATTTTCTATATAATTAGACATAAGACATTGATGAATCTTCGTGTATTATAAGCAGAGAGAACTTTGTTCTCAGCAAATTTCAACGTGGTCATTATGTTTTTTTGACAGAGTACATATGGAACTTCGATTTTACAGAAAATTAGATATGAGCTTTATAGATGCATGTTTTTTTCTTATAAATATGGATGTATCCAAAGACAGTACACAAAATGTAACTCTTTACTAATTAATTTAGTTTATTACATCATTCATTATCAAACAAACGTTCAACTTCGTGATCCTGCAGACAAAATCATCAGGCAAAGAATCGAGAGAAACTCTTCGTTTGTTAGAGTTCTTGAATAAGCAAGATGCTAAGTTGGTCAATTGTTGTTAGCCTACATTCGATTTCCTTTTCTCGGTAGGAATAAACATAGATGCCGATCATCTCGCTAAGTCGGTCCTACGCGACCCTTCCTCTATTATACAACTTCATCTACACGTATACGCTCATTATAAACTGTACAATACATAGTATAGGATGATAGACTCAAAACATATAAAAACTGTGTGGCTCTCACATATTTATCAAAAAAAAAAAAAAAAAAAAAAAAAAAAAACTGTGTGGCTCTTTTCAAACACTTAAACTGCTAAATACGAAAAGAAGCGCAAGTAAGCACAACATGCATCGGACGTATACAACTATACTAGTAATAGAGAAATATTGTTTATTTTTTTAATGTTGATTGTATTATTGGATTTACTGAGAATGTAACAATGATAAAGTTCCCAAACGGAACAAACCAAAACAAGAACAAACACCAGTAGAATGATAAACATTTACTCCAAACTTAATCATGAACAAACGTTAACTTTTTAATAAATTGTTATTTTAAGTTTCAAAAAAAAAAAAAAAAATGTGTTATGAATATATATAAAATAGAATGATAAAAGAATAATAACGATTGTAAAAAGGAACATGTGGTCCCATGACAAATATTTTCCATGAAAATAAACATTTACTCCAAACTTATTCATGAACAAATGTTAACTTTCAATAAACAGTTTTGTATTTATGCGATAAATATATAAAATAGACTGATAAGAGATTTATAACAATTGTAGGAAGGAACAAGAAGAATAGTGTCCGATAGCAAAATATTTTCCATGAAAATAAAACATTTACTCAAGACACAAACAGAAGTTTGAAATTTTAAAATTCAAGTTCCTTTATCTCATCAGTTTTCCATTGCTCATTGGACAACGAACAGTAGTTGTAGTAAAAATCCCAACCACCCTGCATACGTCCCCTCAACTCGTTGCATGTCTCGCAATGATTTGGACACACGATAAACGTGTCAAGCTTTTGAGTGGCAGTTTGTACGATATTTTCGGTATCTAAACCTTTCGACTTTATGTTATTATCGTAGTATACTCTAGTGAATCCTTTAGAATCTATGTATAAGCAATGTAAAAGATTTAGGTTCTTGAGGTTTTGGTGATAAGTGACAAGCCACAGTAATTCCCTTGACCATAAAGCTGTACCTCGTAAGCTTAAATTCTTCAAGTTTGAGAAGTAACTCACAATTTGATAGGCTAAGTCATTGTTTAACGGCCGGATAAGCTTTAGGCTGGTGAGGCTCTTGCAGTTCTCTCCAATGGCTCGAAAGTTAGCATCTGAATAGGGTAAACCAGGTTGAGTAATGACTAACGTTTGGAGATTCTTCCACTGGCTGAATGTTAACATAAGTGAATTGTCATTTATATTACGATAAAGCGGCAGTGATAATTTTTGTACGTTTGGCATCCTGAAAAAAAAACAAGAAAAAAGTAAAGAAACACAAAAGATTGCATGATACCACATTTAACCACGATTTTTTCTATCAACAAATCTGTTTTAGGGATATAACTTAACCTTGGAGCAATGATCGCGAGTTCCTCCTCTTGTATATAGTAACGATAATCAAAAACTAGATTTGTCGTGACTGAGCTGTTAAATTTAGCTATCTCAGACAATATATTTCTGAGCTCATATTGGTGTTCTTCGTCATCAGACAGAACGTCTAGATTATCGGGATCTCTTGAAATAATTGACTTGTGATTACTTAGGTCTATTGTCTTCCATAGAGCTTTGTCGTGAGAAGCTAGGAACCAAGAGACACAGACCCGAGACGCCCCCTTGATGATATCGATAACGTTGAGCATCCCAAATATCTTGGCTAATATGTTTCTCTCCATATTTTCCCAACCGGAGATCTTTCCTAAGCTATTTGGTGTTTCCATCTCAGTGCAACTAAGTAGAATCCTAAGTAATAGAGCTTTGTAAAGATTAACGTTCAGAAACTTTCAAGAAAATAACAATAGATTCAACAAAGTTGAGTCACCCCCGATTTGTTAGAACAACTGAAAGAGACAATCGAAAGAGTTGAGGAAATGATAACAATTTATAGAGGACTTATTCTTGGGTTCACCCTAGAGGGTGAATCTCTAGGTTCACCAACCAATTGGGTGGTGTTATTTAATATTTGATATCTTTTAAAAAAAGAAACAAAATCTTGTCAAGTTATATTATATTTTTAAAATAAAAATAGAAAAAAATAAATAAATATTAATATATACAAAAACGAAAAAAATCTTTAAAAAAATATTTTAACATTATATTATGTTTTAAAATAAAAGATAAAAATAAAATAAAAACAGTCATAATTGCAAAAAACAATTTAAAACAAAAAAAATATTTTAATATATATTCAAAATAAAAACATATGTTTAAAATAAAAAAGATAAAATGGAAACAAAATCTTGTCAAGATATATTATGTTCACCAACCAATAGGGTCGTGTTATTTAATATTTGATATCTTTCAAAAATGGAAACAAAATCTTGTCAAGATATAATATGTTTTTAAAATAAAAATACAAAAAAAAAATATTTAAAAAAAAACGAAAAAAACTTTAAAAAAAATATTTAACATTAAACCCTAAACTCTAATCCTAAACCCTAAACCCCAATACTAAACCCTAATCCTAAACCCTAAACCTTTGGGTAAATCATAAACCCTTTGGGAAAATCTTAAAATTAATACTAACCAATTATACTTTTTTTTATTTATTTTTATCTTTTTATTTTAAACACATGTTTTTATTTTGAAGATATATTAAAATAATTTTTGTTTTGAATTGTTTTTTGCAATTATTACTGTTTTTATTTTATTTTTATCTTTTATTTTAAAACAGAATATAATGTTAAAATATTTTTTTAAAGATTTTTTTCGTTTTTGTATATATTAGTATTTTATTTATTTTTATTTTAAAAACATAATATAACTTGATAAGATTTTGTTTCTTTTTTTAAAAGATATCAAAAAAGACTTGACAAGATTTTGTTTCTTTTCTTAAAAGATATCAAATATTAAATAACACGATCCTATAGGGGGTGAACCCAAGAATAAGTCTTTATAGAGAAGTCATTGGACACATATAGGGGATTTACTTCTGAGGATTGTAACCATTTCTGTGTTGAGAAACTTTGGCTATTATATTAAATGAGAACAGATATTTTATGATGAGGTATAATGAAATACTAACAATTACATTAAAGTTAAAAGAAATATTGTCTTGTCTATAAAACTTTGGCTATTATATTAAATGAGCATAGATTTTTGATGATGAGCTATAACGAAACAGAAATACTATAACAATTACATTAAAGTTAAAAGAAATATAGCCTATAAAACTTTGGCTATTATATTAAATGAGCACAAATATTTTATGATGAGCTATAATGAAATACTATAACAATTACATTAAAGTTAAAGAAAATTTGGTCTGGCATATAAGTAAATCATTAAGAGATATTTTCCCAAAAACGTTATAAGCAAATTAATAAAATGGATATATTACCTAATTATCTATATGTTTGATATTAAATAAATTATTAAAGTTAAATAAGGAAGTTATATATAAATAGTAGTATCCCCTATATATTATTTGAGAATCATTTAAAAAATTGTAACCTTAAGTTTGTAAGAATTAAAAATAACTCCAATCCTATGTGGCATAGCTCTTTGGCTTCAAAATATATATATATGACAATTAATGATTTAAAAAAATAAAGATTTGATAACAATTTGTATACTTTTTTCATTTTGTTTATTTCTTTATTATTAAAATAAATTACACAATTACATTAATCATATAATAAAAATATAGATTTTTTTGTGTATTTCTATTTCGAATTTTTCAAAATGAGTATAAATTACAAAAATTGTTAAAAGTCCCACATAAACTTTTAAGATCAAGGTTTTAATTTTTTTCTATACTAAAATATAATGATTATAAGACCATATGAAGAAATAATTTTAGTTTATATATATTTAATATCATTTTAATTAAACTATACATCGTATGAAAATACATACTTATATTTTGATATTTGCCTTGAACATATATTGAAATGTTAATATTTTAATTTTGAAATATGTCATTATTTTTTTAAATGATTATAAATTATTGAAACTACTAAACATCTCACATTAAAAAAATTCGTTGGTGTAAAGTTTTGTTACACAAATATACAAATAATCATAAAATCATATGAGTAGAAATCTCATTTAATAAATATCCATATTAAAAGTGTGTTATATTACTATGTTTATATCATTTAAATTTAATTATATATTATATACAATATATAAGATTGATTATTTTGATTTATTTACCCTAATTGTGAATAAACAAGAGTAATAGTTAAATTTATATGCATACGCCAATTTATTACATAATAGTAACTGATTTCTTAGTTATTTAATATATATTTATTATTTTATTATTTATAACATGCAGAAAAATATAAAATAAATAATAAGTATAAAATACTTATTGTGCATAAAGTGCAGATCTTAACCTAAATATGTATCTCTTTAATTATTTTAAATCTTAAGTATTTTCTAAAACAAACGAAATGAGAATGAAATTCAAAATAAATATTTATATCGAGTAATAACCAAAATATAAAAAAACCATAGAAAGAGAAAAATGGAAGATAAATAGGGCTGACACGTGAACGTAAACTTCTCATAACCATAATTAATTTTTAAATTGTTAAATCATGATATAAAACTGAGTTAATTTGTTAATTTGTTAATTTTAAATTTTTTAATTTTTTTAAATCATTATGGTTATGTTAAATCATGACCATAATTAATTTTAAATTGTTTATTTTTATTTGAAAAACTTAAAATATTGTTTTTTAAAATAATTTAAAATTTTACAAATTTTTTTATAAATTATTTTTAAAAAATATAATTTTTATTATTATTAGACAGATAAATAAATTATATTAAATTAGTTTTGAAACTTTATATATTTTAAATGCAAATATTTTACCAATTGCTTCTTAAAAACCATTAGGGAACTTGCTAATACTCTACCAATCAATTCCAGTGACACTCCATTTATTTTTCATCATTCGAACACTGAAAAGTGAAAAGATATATGAAATCATATTCATTAAATTCTAAGATTTGATCTACATTTCTAACTAAAATTGTTTCTGATCTTACGTATAGATAATTATATAAAAATTTCAAAATTCTTAAATTTCAAATACATACAAAAACAATCATATGTAAATTTTAAATTTATCAATACTAAAATTTTATATTTTAATTACATATATTCACCATACGTCTTGCGCAGGTCTTATCCTAGTATCTATTATATAAGTAAATACGATATGTAAGTAATCTAGACCCGTATCTATGCAGTGAGGCGATATATGTGGTTTAATAGTAAAACAAAGAAAAAAGAATGAATTTTCTAATTAGACAAAAGACATTGATGAATCTTCGTGTATGATAAGCAGCGAGAACTTTGTTCTCAGCAAATTTCAACGTGGTCATTATGTTTTTTGACAGAGTACATATGGAACTTCGGTTTTACAGAAAATTAGATATGAGCTTTCTAGATGCATGTTTTTTTCTTATAAAATCATATGGATGTATCCAAAGACAGTACACAAAATGTAACTTTTTACTAATTAATTTAGTTTGTTACATCATTCATTATCAAACAAACGTTCAACTTCGTGATCCTGCTGACAAAATCATAAGGCAAAGAATCGAGAGAAACTCTTCGTTTGTTAGAGTTCTTGAATAAGCAAGATGCTAAGTTGGTCAATTGTTGTTAGCCTACATTGGATTTCCTTTTCTCGATAGGAATAGAAAAAATAAGTGGACGAATGAGAACACAGATTTGTTCTCTTTTCCAGCTTTGAAAACGATAAAATCCGAGAAAAATTAAAGAAAAAAAGGGAAATTTATAAATCTTTTTGTTTCCTTTGCACTCTTATTTCTCTCGTTTAAATCTGTTCATGGGGATATTACTGGGAAATCCGCCAATTCATACTTCAACCCAAAAAATGCGGTCCCGATCAATACATCAACTGATGACCTGTGATAAAACATAAATCAACGTCGATTTATTTTAAATTTCATACAAGCACAAATAAAACTAGGCTAAATCATACATTGACTTATTTTCCGTTAGTCAAACGTTTATAGATGATGACATGTTAATGTTATTAACGAAAACATAGCGCTGAGCTGTTTATTATAATTTAAAATAATAAATTATAATTTAAAAATTAATTTAACATATCTGTATGAGAGGAGATTTGAACCCTGGTTGAATCGGAGAATAATGTAATGTTCAACAACTGTGACATACTGATACATTTTTTATAGTGTCTATGGTTTAAAATATATCTCTAAGAAATATTAATTTTAACAAATCCGAAGCAAGGTAGTGTTGAACCCGGGTCGAATGAGTGACAACCCAACACATTGTTTTTGTTGTCTATGGTTTAAAATATATCTCTAATTAAAAGAGAGAAAATTCCATAAATATACCTTAATTAAATTTTGTTAACCTTTTTAATACCCAAATTTTTTCGCTACCCAATTTAATATCCCAACTAATTATTTTTCCATTTTAATACCCAAACTTTTATAACTGCATCTATTTTAATACCCAAACTATGTTTATTTTAATTAAAAATACTAATAAGTTTCAAAGAAAATTTTAAAAAATCTCTAAAATCTAAGAAAAATATTTAAAATTTCTAATTTTACTTGAAGATTTAAGAAATAAGGTAAACAAACTTTAGAAAAAAATTTAAAATTTCAAAAATTAATTTTGAAGGAAAACAAATTAATTTTATTTTTTTTTAAATAAATTCAATATTTTAAATTTAAGAAACTTACTTCAAAATTTAAGCTTATTGAAATTTAACTGGGATTCAACATTTTCTGAAAATATCTTGAGAAAAATGAAAAAAACAAACAAATACAGAAAAATGAATGAGATTTGAGGAAGATTGAATTCAAAAGAGTTATATTTCTTTATGAAATCCATCAAGGTTTTTATGACAGAAGGGAAAAGAAATATCAAAATTAAATATTATTCGAGATATATAGTAGATCATAGAGAAGATAAATAAAGAATAGATGTGTCACAGTGGTTGAATGTTACAAAAGTCCATGAGTCAGCCAGGATTCGAATCCCCCTACTCCATATTGCGAGAACTGTTTTGTTTTAAATAATTATTATTTTCAATTATAATAGTCAGTCCAGTGTCACGTAAGTTCTGTTAATGACATGTCACAGTGGTTGAATGTTACAAAAGTCCATGAGTCAGCCATAGTTCGAATCCCCCCTGCAACATATTGCCAGAATTGTTTTGTTTTAAATAATTATTATTTTCAGTTATAATAGACAGTTCAGCGCCACGTAAGTTATGTTAATGACATGTCACAGTGGTTGAATGTTACAAAAGTCCACGAGTCATCCAAGGTTCGAATCCCCCTGCAACATATTGCCAAAAATGTTTTGTTCTAAGTAATTATTACTTTCATTTATACTAGACATCTCAGCGCCACGTAAGTTCCGTTAATGATATGTCATCTTCTATAAACCTTTGACTAACGAAAAATAAGTCAATGTATGATTTAGCCTAATTTTATTATTTCATATATGAAATTTAAAATAAATCGACATTGATGTATATTTTAACACAGGTCATCAGATGATGTACTGATCGGGACCACGACCTCTGTTGATGTATGAATTGGCCGATTGCCGGGATATTACTACTTTATACAGGTTTATGTATTCCACCATCTTTTCTCCACCAAATATTTTATAAAATTTAGAGGAAGAAAAATCCTATCCTCAACCCGTGTAGGAGATTGTATCCATAATGAGAATATGTTTATTACAAACGGTTTTGTCAACCGAACAGTGGCTTCTTTGCTGGATCAAGAGCTCACTTGAACCGGTTTCTTCTTCTTTTTGGAGTTGTTTATTGGTCGGACCTTTACAAAAGCGTTTTGTAAATCCTGCAAAACCAAAAAAAAAAAAAGGTTTCGTTGGAAACTGAATAAAAGAGCATTATTAACACACAAACCATTGTAAAAAGATGAACACCTCACAAACTTTCAGAGATCCTAAATGAGAATCTCTAGTACTAGCACGAGAATAATGCACAATGTAAAAGAGCAACACGAGCAGGCTTATAGAGAGATCGTGGGTTGTCTTTTTCATAAATGCAAATAAAATCCTTAAAACAGAACAAGAGAAGCATTGTAGTAGTAGTCATATGGTAAAGACCTAAAAACTGGTTAGTTCAATCAATCAACTACTTGAGAAACGGTCCTAGCCATAATATCATACTAGACCACACTTTCTAATACAATCTCCCACCTCAAGTTGTTAAATGATATATAGAAAACATAAACCCGAAGCTAAAAGTTTCAGCTTTTATAAGTTATAACCACTATAAACTACTACTAATCTACACCAATCTCTGTAAAATGAAATGTTTTTACCTTATCAGAGTTATCATTAGGTGATGATGGTTCACCAGTCCAAAGACTCTCCAAATTAAAGTAAACCCTCGCCTTTTCATCAAGTGCATGTACTACAAACTTCCCTACACACAAATACCAAAGACAATTACACAACTATAAAAATCAAAACTTTGAATTAAATTTAAAAAAAAAACACGAACCGTAGTCAATAACAATCCACTTGGTATCGTAACCTTGTACAGACGGAAGCATTAAATGTTTAGCTCCCTTCTGCTTCTGCTTAGCCTGTTCACAGTAAGATTCTTTAAGTATCGGATTCAATCTCACTAGAAGGTGAAAAAAGGAGTATGTATACTTTGTAGACGAGAGCTTGAGCGATGTTCTTCAAGTGCCAATCGGATCTTCCGGTGGCGATTATCGTGACATCGGCCCAGCAAGAATGATTCTCCGTCGGAATCACAATCACGTTGTCTGCCTTCACGTCGGAGAGGATCTTCTCCACTTCGGGAACGGATAGAATCTCTGAGATATCACGTGCGTCGCCGCTGGCGGAGGAAGAGAAGGAGGGAAGGGAAGCGGAGAGAGCTAGCTTCCATGACTGATCTGGAAATGGAGGTGATTTGAGAAGGGAAGGGAGAGAATAGTAGCGAGATCGGAGAGCAGAAAACATGAGGTATTAGCGTGGTTGCGATACGGCCACGATTGGGAGAATAAACCCTAATTATACCTTTTAGTCCCAAGACCACGAGGATTGTTGACCTGAACGGCGATGTGCTCGGTTAGGCTTCCTTTTTTTTTTTTGTCTAATTAAAAGAAAGAAAGAAAAATCACTTGTTAAGAATTAAATTTATTTGAAATTCATGTGTTGTTTTAATTTTGTTTTTCAATTAAATTTCATATAACTATATTTTTTAATTTTATTTAACTTGGTCAAACTCTTACAAAATAAAAGGGAAAATCGCATAAAAAACCTTCAAGTTGGCAACCACTTACACTTTAAACCCTGAGAGTATTTTACAAGCACTTTAAACACTCAAGTTGGCAAATTTAGCATATTAAACCTTCAATCTGCCTTACTTGTACATCAAGTTAAAAATGTGACCGGTACTGTTCAAAAGCGATGACGTGTCGGTTCTAAAAAAAAAAAAAAAAAAAATTTACGAAAAAATAAATATAAAAATACAACAAATATAAAAATTCATTAAAAATCATTAAAAATTCTTTAAAAATTGAAAAAAAATCAGAAAAAATCAAAAAAATCAGAAAATCATAAACATTAAAAAATCGCAAAATAATTAAAATATTTTATTAATAAAATATTAAAAATAAAAAAAAAACTTAAAAAAAATTATAAAAAAATCCCAAAATAAGAAAATTCAAAAAATTTAAATAAAACAAAAATGAAATTTAAATAAAACTAATATAAGAATAATAGATAAAATAAATATAATTTCAAGAATAAATAATTTTATTTGTTTTATAAAAAAACGAGAAAACACTATATTTTTTTTTTTAAAAAGAATCATTATCTTCAAATGATTCTCGTGAACCAAATCAAAGCAAACAAATTAAATTCCAAGGATTTTTATGCGATTTTCCCAATATAGTGAACCAAATCAAAGCAAACAAATTAAATCAAAGAAAACACTATATTTTATTTGTTTTATAAAAAAACGAGAAGATAATGATTCTTTTTTTTTAAAAAATATAGTGTTTTCTCGTTTTTTTTATAAAACAAATAAAATTATTTATTCTTGAAATTATATTTATTTTATCTATGATTCTTATATTAATTTTATTTAAATTTCATTTTTGTTTTATTTAAAATATTTTGAATTTTCTTATTTTGGGGATTTTTTATAATTTCTTTTAAGTTTTTTTTTATTTTTAATATTTTATTAATAAAATATTTTAATTATTTTGCGATTTTTTAATGTTTATGATTTTTCTGATTTTTTTGAATTTGTTCTGATTTTTTTTCAATTTTTAAAGAATTTTTAATGATTTTTAATGAATTTTTATATTTTCTGTATTTTTATATTTATTTTTTCGTAATTTTTTTTTTTTTTTTTAAAACCGACACGTCATCGTTTTTGAACAGTACCGGTCACATTTTTAACTTGATGTACAAGTAAGCCAGATTGGAGGTTTAATATGCTAAATTTGCCAACTTGAGTGTTTAAAGTGCTTATAAAATACTCTCAGGGTTTAAAGTGTAAGTGGTTGCCACCTTGAAGGTTTTTTATGCGATTTTCCCCAAAATAAAATAAAGAAGGCAAACGACTTAATATTACACTAGAACAAAAGTACCGTATAGTAAAAATTCTACATAATATTTTATACTCATCTAATTGCACACATTTTGAATATATGAAAACCGAAATCACACAAACTAAAAGGTTAGCTTGGTTTTACTAATTTAAATTCTAAACTAGTAAAATCAGTTGAACTGATCAAATCAGTTGGTATCGAATTGATCTAACCTGATAGTCAAATAATATTCGATCCAACCTTTAAGTAGAATGTTGGGTCAGATTCTATTTGGATATTAATTTAGATCGGATTTTAATTTCAGTTTGATACGAACTGATTTGATATTGGTTTAGTTTCTAAAATAGTTAAATCAAATCGAACTTTTATTTGTGTGATTTTGGATTTCGATCTTCAAATATAAAAATAAATAAATTTATATATTTAATATATGTGCAAAATTAGGTTTATATATTTAAAATGTATGCAATTAGGATAAACATATACCTTTGCATACATTTTGGAAGCTCATGTACTATAGAGTAATATCCATTGGGTTATGGATACATATTTGGACATCAATATCAGTGAGGCTTCTAATTTATCATTTGAACCATATAGACATACCAGTTGGTCATTATCATATTGGAATTTAGCTATATTTATGCATTATCTTATTTGATGTTGGACTGTTAATGTCAAAAAAAAAAATGTTTATCTTAACGAGTAAATTTAGATGTGGATAGTGATCATGGTTGAAACCGACTCAAAAGGAAGAGTTAGATCAACGGTAAAAAATAATCCAAAGTTTTAGAAGTTAGTTTTTTTTCTCTAGTCATTTTATGTTGAACAAGAATTTCATTTTTTCCATCTTTATAAATCTATCATTCCATCATTCATATATAACTTTGTATATTGTGTTGGATCATTTAAGTCCACGCTAGTTCTTTTAGCGTAAAGCCATAGAGGCATATTCCTATGTAAACAAAGAAGCATATTCTGGACAACCACTTACTAACCAAGATATAAAATTAAGTTAACGTGTATATAAATTCTCATCTCACATGATACACTCAATTTCAGAATTTTAAAACAAGTAACCCCACTTTTATATTTTGCCAGGATAAGTTATAGTACAATGAAATCTCTAAAAAGTACTAAGAAAAAGTCTTTGAGAACATTATTATTAAGATAGGATATTCTACTATATAATTCTGGATAACTACATTTTCTACTTCCTCAAAAAATATTAAATAGAACCGTTGGTTGTTGCCGATGAAAAAGCGAGAAGACAAACGAAAGAAATATTTTTAGGAAGAAGAAGAAGAAAAGAGAACCTGAGGATTTGAACGGTAGACGTAACACACACCATCAAAGAGAAGAGATTTTTTTTTTCCACCTCATATGGATTCATGTCGTCTCTGTATGTTAGTCTTGTAGCAAAGCTATTCTCGTGATTGATTTGAAAGCCCTAATGAGATTCATCGATCATCGTCTAATGGAGGAATCATCAGCTGATACGTCTTCCTCTTCCTCTTCCCATTATTTCTCTATTTTCACGAATTATCCTCTGATCTCCGCCGTGTTAGCTTTCACCATCGCACAAGTCATCAAGTTCTTTACCACCTGGTACGTTTACGACTTTACGTGCACGTATCTTCTTATTTAGAGATTATTTTATATTTGAATGGTTAGATGAAGATTGAAATATTTGAAGTAAACTATGTTTTGTAATGAAGGTATAAGGAAAATAGATGGGATTTGAAACGGCTTGTTGGTTCAGGAGGAATGCCTTCTTCACATTCAGCAACAGTTACGGCTCTTGCCATGGCTGTTGGTTTACAAGAAGGCTTTGGAGGATCTCACTTCGCTATAGCTTTGATCCTCTCATCCATTGTACGTTTTGCTCACTCAATCACCTTCCTTATCACTTTTACATGGTTGAGGCATGGTTAAATAGTGAGGGATTTTTTTTTGTGTTATTGTGGCAGGTGATGTATGATGCAACTGGTGTGAGATTACATGCTGGACGCCAAGCTGAGGTTTTGATTTGATTGTTTTATTTTGGTGTCACAAGCTCTGTTTACTTGTACTGATTATGGCTCTGTTTCATTTTTCAGGTACTCAATCAGATTGTGTATGAACTTCCCGCAGAGCATCCCCTTGCTGAAAGTTTACCGCTGCGTGAACTTCTTGGTCATACTCCTCCACAGGTAAGATCAGACCAATACGGACTTTAAAAATGGCTTTCATGAATTGTGGTCAGTACCTGAAGCATATATTATTTTTTGTGTGATTTCATCAGGTTGTTGCGGGTGGAGTGCTTGGGACTGTCACAGCAGTTTTTGGATACTTATTCACCTTCATGCATAGCTGAAAAACAGCAATGGCAAGCAAATGGACTCCTCCGGAAGCTGGATTATTTTTGTGTGGTTTGCTGGTCAGATCTTTGTCATTGACAACATAGTATAGTTTTTTTTAAGGAAAACATGAAAATGTCATTAATTACAACGAACATAGTCTGTTTATTCAGCCTTATAGCTGTATTGTGAATTGCCTGTTTGCATGGAATGAAAAGCAACGCCAAGCAATAGAATCCTACTTTGAAGTTTCATCGACATAGTTTTTGCATATGCTGATTTTCTCTAGTTTATTTGGCTCATTAAAGACATATCTTAGCATTAACTTATGTCTCCTCTGCCACTTGGTGGTACGAGCTAGCTGATATTGATTCCTTAATGTTGATTCAACCTCCTGAGAAGAAACAATAGATTTATATTATAAACAAATACGTCAAGATGGTTAGGGACATGGGAACATACTTGTCTTCTCCGACTAGTAACCGCTCCGAGATCACCAGTTCAAGACTCATCATCAGGAATATGATTAAGAGGTTGTGTCTTTAAATGGTTCTACTGATAAAGTCCATGACGCGTATCTAATGTGGTGAGGATGAAGAAAGATTACAACAGAAAGATTAGTCTATGTTCCCATGAAAGAGATTTATGTCCAGAAGACAAAAGAACATTGTGAATGAGTATTTTGTGCAGGGTAGAACTGATAGAGGAAAGATCGGTCTTGTCGATTTGGAGTCATGATGTATGCCACAGATCAGTCTTGTGACTCTTGTCCATTTGATACACTATGATGATATGATTTTTGCCAGGGCTTTACATTCCACTAACTTCACTTCTAAAGTAATAATTTCAAAACTGGCTGTTATTTTCTTAGAATATCTATGTCAATTTGATACAGTTACTTTTAAAGTTTTTCTTTAACTAAAATTTTATAGAAAACTGCACAATTCATATTTGTATCTATGATATATCTAAGTACCTGAACCAATAAATAACTTTTTTATTTTTGATGAAATTTCAAATTTATTGATCAATCAAAACTGTTATTTACAAACAATAGACTAGCTAGAACTAAGAACTTATATCCATAAAAGAAAGATAAAACTTTGTACTAGCAGATGTTTGTGAATTCCTAATCAAAAACTTCAAACCATCTCCTAAGGAGACCATTGAACTTGTGGCTCACCTTATAACCAAAAGAGGTAATCATGTTCTTAATTCCTCTATTGATTGTTTTGATCACTTGCTATATTCTCTGATGACCTTGCTGATGCATTTGTGTATTCCGCCAGACATGGTACACTACACAACCTAGAACACCAATCGAATGAGTATCCGATTCATCTTATCAGATAAATCCAATTAGTATCAGATTCATCATATCAGAACCAATAAAAAACTGCTTTAAGTAATGTTATATTGTTCAGATATTTTTTGTTTTCTAATACATTAATCCATCCCTATTTACATCTACGGAAAGCACTCGTTTACTAGTAATTAGAAAACTTAATAAAAACAGAGAATGGGAGTTAAAAGAAGTACCTTAATGATGAATCCATAAGAGACCAAAGACGGTCCACAAGCAGTAGAGGGGACTGTCAAGGACCACGTGAGTTTGTCAGTCAAACACGGACCCGCCTTTCCTCCAACCCGGACCGACAAAACCCATCTCTCGCCGCTCCTTCCACGATCTCTAACCGTACACGTGTCCTAGTCTTCACGAAACTACCTACCTTCGTCTAAAATCTTAATCTTCTACAGTTACCGTTAAAAAGTACAAGTGTATCTTAAAAATATACCACTCTCGGGAACTACATTAGAAGTTTTAACTTTTTCCTGAACTCTGCTTTTCACGAGATTCCTCCTAATTGTTTGTGATTGTTCCCATTGCATTTGCATTATTTTAGTTAACAGTATAACTAGTAGTAGTATAATGGTGATTGTGTTGAGTCACTTTCTCCCCACGTACACATGATTAATATTACTATTCTGTTAACAGTGTTTCCAGCATTTTCACAAATGAACCAGATCTGAGCACTATTATAAAAGAAACCATTTACACTTAATTATTCTGAAAATGATACAAATAAAACAACCCTGGGGCTTATATGATGATTATGTGTTTAACTGATGTTTTAAAGACTTTAGAGACTTAATGATATAGAGGCTAAAGCAGAAGAAGGTTTTTTTTAAAATTAAGTAGTTGCCGAATTATGCAATACAATACAAAGTAAAATAAAAGAGACTTTTAAAGATGGATGTCGTTTTTCAATACTGTTTGTGAGTGATACCATTTTTGGCTAAGAGCATCTCCAAAAGATACTCTATAACTTTAAATATGAAGTTTTTGCCTCTCCAAAAAGGAACTCTAAAACTTTAAATTTGAAGTTTTGAGTAGTGAAACTTCAAATATAGAGTGTCACTATTCAAAACTTCAAATCTGAAGTTTCATATTTTATTTACATTTTGGTCCTTACAATTATACATCATATTTATAATAATCTTAAATATTTATTATTTATCATTTTAATCCTTAAAATTATTATTTCATAAACAATTCAAAATTATTTTTATAAATTAAAATTTTCTATTTAAAAAAGCATCAAAATAATCTTTAAAATATTTTAAAACTAGAAGTACACAGCAACAATATTACATGATATAATATGGTATTTTGTTTGTACTTTAATATTTAATTATATATTTCTATTTATAGTTTTATATTTTAGCGTAACATTTTATCAAATGATATTTCTATAATATTTTTATACATGGTAGTTATTTATAAAAGTTTATGAATTTGAATTAATTATGACAAATATAAGGACCATTATATAAAATACAAATAGTTTTAAAGTTAGGTTTAAAGTTTTGATTTTGGAGTATAACACTTTCAAACTTCAAATATAGAGTTTTGCAAACTCTATAATAGAGAGTCTTTTTGGAGATGCTCTAAGTGAGGTGTTCTATCTATTATTAGCAAAACATTTTTTTGTGACTGATATTGAAGCTATAAATTCATCATTTCCGTTACACCAACCAGACTTATAGTAGATTATACAGGTCAGATAAATCAAGAAGATGTAATTTATGAATAATCTAATTTAGAAATTATCGAGTGGGATAGTAGTGAGGATACAAATTCAGTAGTTGAACAAAACTGATATTTGATAATAGAAGATTAGAAGGTACAAGAATCATGTTACACTTTATCTGATACGAAAGTACGGATATTAAGAATATTTCTAATCTCCTTACATTTTCTAGTTCAAAGTATATCATAGATAGTAATAATTTTCTTCAATTTTACTCCATGTTTAACTGTATGAGTAAAAAGTGAAATTACCTAAAAATGAAACAATCATATATATACTGTACTATTTTATTGAGTAAATTTATAAGTAATCAAATACCACAACATATTCACGTACCAGATCTGAGTATTATTATAAAAACTCATTAGCACTAAATAAAAATAAAGAAAAACAGAGAAAACCTTGGGGATATCAGCTACGTATATTAAATATTGCCATTCCAATAGAAAAAGACAGAACTAATAAGAGTTTTAAAGACTGTCATTCTCTCTTCTACAACAGCCCATCTGGCATTTATGGTCTCTCTCTCTCTCTCTGCTAAATCTCTCACATCAAGAAGTTGGGTCTACGAGAGAGTGACGACTCTTTGATTGATTCGCCACATCTTCCTCACTTCCATTTACATCCCTTTTAATCCCTTCCTCAAAGTCATCTCTCTTTTTTATATATCCACTGCTCCTGATTCATCATAAGAGTTGAATAGTTTTTTTTTTATTTATCTTGACAAAGAATGAGATCTCAAGGGGTGGAAACTAACAAAGTGTGGCTTGGACCAACAACGCCGGAGATAACCGGTTTTGAGTTTCAGAAAGGTACAAACCGAACACCAAACCACCACCGGTCCAGTATAGGTAAACCAGCACCGTCAAAATGGGACGACGCTCAGAAATGGCTCTCCGGCGTCGGTCTTGCTCGCGGTGGCACCGGAGAGAAGAACCACCACAACTCGAGGAACTGTAAGCCAAGAAACTCAAACGCGGATGATCTAAGACTCATAGCTTCAGCTTCGCAGAGAGAACGTGAAGGAGAGGATCAGTACGTTGAATACGACGAAGAAGACGGAGCAGCGGGAAGGCTCGAGGTGGAGACGAAGAACGTAGACTGCGGAGGGGAGCCAGGTGGTGGTGGTTCGGCTTGGAGGAAAGAGAGTATTAATATTAATCCAACGGCTGTGATTCGATCAGTGTGTGTGAGAGACATGGGGACTGAGATGACTCCTATCGGTAGCCAAGAGCCTTCTAGAACGGGTACACCTGTTCGAGCCACGACGCCGGTTGGGAGGAGTCCTGTGACGTCACCAGTGAGAGCTTTACAGGACGTTGAGGCGGTGAGGACGACGGAGACGGTGGTGACGGAGGGTAGAAGCGTAGGGAATGATAATAAGGCGATGAATGCTATGGAGGCTCGAGCCATGGCTTGGGATGAAGCAGAACGCGCTAAATTCATGGCTAGGTAATTAGCATTAACTAATTAAATTAATGTTTAATTGGTGTTGACGTGGCTTCATTATCTATCAGTGTTTGAGGTTTTATTTTATTACTGGGATGTGATTAGGTATAAGAGGGAGGAAGTGAAGATACAAGCTTGGGAGAATCATGAGAAGAGAAAGGCTGAGATGGAGATGAAAAAAATGGAGGTAAAAAAAATTATCATCATATGGTAAAATGGTAAAACCAAAAAAAGTATTGTGGATGTAGTTTGAGGAAATGTGTGGATGTTGTGTAGGTGAAGGCTGAGAGGATGAAAGCAAGGGCTGAGGAGAAGTTGGCGAACAAGCTGGCGGCGACAAAGAGGATAGCGGAGGAGAGGAGGGCGAACGCGGAGGCGAAGTTGAATGAGAAGGCGGTGAGGACATCGGAGAGAGCTGATTATATAAGGAGAAGTGGTCACTTGCCATCTTCTTTCTCATTTAAGATTCCATCTTTCTCTCTATGTTGGTAGCCACTTAGTTTGTGTGTTACTTATTAATCTCATTATTGTCTTTAGAATGTAATCGTTGTATGGATTTAGTGATGCAATAACTAATGAACAAAAGTTAACGGTTTCGTTCAAGTAGATAGAATAGAAGAGTAAGTTTAGAGAGATGATCACGGTGTTAGGAAAATTAACATTTGTAGATTTAGTAGTACGACCCAAGTATTGATAGAAAGGTAGTAACAACTAACAAGTCTTGTCAACTTGGAAGCTCGAACTCTTGATCCTTGAAGCGTCCCCTCTTCGTGAGCCACTTCAAAACTGTGTACAATCCTTCTTGCATTAGCCTCGGTCCAAACCGCATACATTATCTTAGGTGGAAAGTTTTGTCAAGCCTTTTGTCAGTTCTAACTTTCTTAACGAACCAAAATATCCTTGGAAAACGTCTTTCATGATAGAATAGAAATTGACAGAGAAGAACATATGCTAGAGTTCAATTGAGCACCTTTTGAATTTTGCACAGCCAAAACAAAAAGATGATTAACCTGAGGTATTCCGAATTTATGGAAGGGTTTAAACTGATCTTGAAGATGAAATGTAGCCCACAGGGCACAGATAGATCATCTCTCCGAATATACAAATGAATCCAAAAACACGAGTTCATATTCGTATAGGATGTTCATGAACAAACTTTGCGCTACAGATATATCGAACCTGAAACGTGTTAACATCCCAATTATTTCCTTTAGACACAATTAATTATTTTTGCGCAACCAACTTAGTCTAGTGGTTAACAAGCTTAGGAAAAGCTGAAGGGATTAAGATTTATGTTTTTTTTTTTCTCTTTTCATATTGATTTCAGTTGTTTTTACTTATTACTTTTGTATGCATTAGTGTTCTTCATATGAGACATAACAATTGGACATAACAGAAAACTACAAAGTATATGGGCTTTTTTTAGCAATGCAAATAAAATAGAAGGGGTACAATACTAAAACTAATACAAAGGGAACAAAAAAAATCGAAAACTAATTTACAATTACGTCCTTAAGCTCCCGACTTCGAGAGACGCCCCCTTTTGTCTCCTCTCCTCCGCCATTACTCGTTCCCTCTCGACGGAATCCACCCGTACTCACATCCTCCACGAGAGCTTTGCATCATCTCTACTTCATCTCCTCGTTCCGTCCTCTCTTTCCTTGTATCAAGCAGGTCTCGCTTTCGATTTCTAGGGTTTCGCGGTTCACAGATCACGAGCTCTTGCTTCAATTCAATCACGAGTAGCTGTTTCTTCCGAGATTTTAGTCTCTGCGATTCTGAATTTCTAGCACGGTTGGTTAGTCGTTTAATTTTTCGATTTCGCCCTAATAGAAGATTTGAAATAGCAATTCAAGTGGTGTCATTAAGCTCGTAACTGTCTGTTATGGCGGCTAGGAGGAATATTAGGTATCCTGATCATGAACTTAGAGAGAAAGAATCGGATTCTAGATTTTCCAGGCGTGATAGTGTTTACTCAAATGAGAATTATGAACATGCGAGGAACAGTGTTGTTGATAATGGAAAGGGACGGGTTAGTAATTTTAGACACGGGGATAGCGGTAAAGATAGAGATTTGGTTAACAGTGGGTTTAATAGAGATTTGAAGAGTAATCCTGTTAGTAGGGAAGCATTTGTTGGTCGTGGGGGACCTAAAAGATGTGGGCTTTCAGCTAGGTCTGTGGATAGGGAACCTGGTGAGCTCTCTAGTGAGAGTGGGTCTGATGATTTAGTTGAGTCTGAATCTTTGGTGAAGGGTAATGGAGCTGTGAAGCAGGTAGAGGATAGAGCTCAAAGCCCTGTAGAAAAGAAGAGGAAGTTTTCGCCGATAGTATGGGACAGAGATGAGCGCGAAAGAAGTAAAGAAAAACCTGTGGAGGTCACCCCTCTTCCTCCCCCACCACCACTTGTTAAGAGGTCAAGCCAGTCACCTAGTGTTGGCAACTCTCGTTTTCCTCCAGAACAGAGGAACATGCATGAAGATCCTAAGCAAGTTGGTCTTCTTGAGGTTTCGGTTCCTACTTTGTCGTCTCCTGTAGAGATATCTTCGTCAGGTGTGGTGGAACAATCATCACATGCTGGGAAGGATGGAAAACAAGAGGATGCAACGCACCAGGAAGATGAGGAAAACATGCCGACAAGGCATATATCATCCTCTAGGTGGGCTGCTGGTGATAGTTCTCCTACTGACGAGGGTGAAATAGTAGAAGTGGAAATAAATAAAAGGAGAAACAAACTACTTCCCGGGAGATTGCGCAATACGTCTTTAACGCCTGAGGTTGGGGAGTCTGTGAGGGAAGGTTATAGATCATCTGATTCTTTGCCGAGAAGCAGAGATGATTTTGAGGATAAAGATGCTGCTAAGGGTGACAATATGGAGATAGATGATGAGGAACGCAGAAGAGGAAATACTAGTGACAGCCTTACTGAAACAGATTCTGATGACGAATATGTTCGCCATGAGACACCTGAACCTGCTACTCCACTGAGAAGTATAAACATGCTCCAGGGTTGTCGAAGTGTTGATGAGTTCGAGAGATTAAATAAGATAGATGAAGGTACTTATGGTGTTGTTTACAGAGCCAAGGATAAAAAGACAGGTGAAATTGTGGCATTGAAGAAGGTGAAGATGGAAAAAGAAAGAGAAGGTTTTCCGTTGACTGCTCTTCGAGAAATTAACATACTTCTTTCTTTCCATCACCCATCAATAGTGGATGTTAAAGAGGTGGTTGTGGGTAGTAGTCTTGATAGCATTTTTATGGTGATGGAATATATGGAACATGATCTTAAAGCATTGATGGAGTCAATGAAGCAACGTTTCAGTCAAAGTGAAGTTAAATGCTTAATGCTTCAACTCTTAGAAGGTGTCAAGTATCTTCATGACAATTGGGTGCTTCATCGAGATTTGAAAACATCTAACCTGCTTTTAAATAATCGAGGCGAGTTAAAGATATGTGACTTTGGTTTGGCTCGGCAATACGGCAGCCCGCTGAAGCCATATACTCATCTGGTTGTTACGCTTTGGTACAGGTAAAGCCCCGTTTACCCCTTTCAAGTTAAAAATGGTGGCTTCTTGATTTTGTAATTTAGTTCCAGTGACTTTGCTATAAATTTTGGCCATCATTAGCACAGCGTGAAGAGAGTCTTTAGGTTGACTTAAATCCTTATGTTGCCACTTTGAGTATATTTTCATTATATGCCAGCTTAGCTTTTGAATGCTAAATTGCTAAAGCTTTTGCGTTATTACCTTGAACATCACAGAGAATGGGGCCATTCAGAACTAGTAACGTTAGGAAATATTCGTTCCTGAGCTTTATTTTCTTGTTTTGTCTCTTGTGTTGACTCTCCCTTTTTTATAGCAAGTAATCACTTCCTCCTGGACCAAGCTCAATGACTGCATTTGTTTTCCCAGGGCACCTGAACTTCTCTTGGGAGCGAAACAATATTCTACAGCCATTGACATGTGGTCACTGGGTTGTATCATGGCAGAACTATTAGCAAAAGCGCCATTATTCAATGGTAAAACTGAGTTTGATCAACTTGACAAGGTATTTTGAACACAGGTTTTACGTGGATTTCTAGCCATCCAGGCACATTCAGCTTATAAAGAATTGCTTCTTTATATTTACAGATTTTCAGAGTCCTGGGTACTCCCAATGAATCAATTTGGCCTGGATTCTCCAAGCTGCCTGGAGTCAAGGTCAACTTCGTCAAGCATCAGTAAGTGTTTGTAAAGTTCAGCTGTTATGCAAGCATAGCCTGTGTATAAATTTGCTGAACTCTCAATTGTTCTCAGCTTTCTAGCTTTGGGTGATGTGGTCTGCCACTCTGGTTCATTAGTGATTTCTTTTGTTTTTCCGGCTTTACATAGTTATTATGTTGTGCTTCTTACCACTGGCTTGTTTTTTCAGGTATAACCTATTACGTAAGAAATTTCCAGCCACTTCATTTACTGGTTCACCAGTTCTGTCCGACGCTGGCTTTGACTTACTGAACAAGCTCCTGACATACGATCCTGAGAGGGTAATAGAATATATATGATGCATGTATGCTCATCCGATATGCAACTTGATAGTTTTTTGACTTTTGAATCTGTGGGGATTTTTTCTATAGAGAATAACTGTTGATGCTGCTCTTAAGCATGAATGGTTCAGTGAAGTCCCTCTGCCAAAATCCAAAGATTTCATGCCTACTTTCCCTGCTCAACATGCTCAAGACAGGTGCGGAGATCTATCTCATGTTTAAACTGAAACGATCACTGGTCAACTTGACTTTAATTCTATCTCTGACTTTTATTTTCTGTGCCAAGGCGTGGGAGGAGGATGATAAAGAGCCCCGATCCTTTGGAAGAGCAACGTAGGAAGGAACTAACACAAACCGAACTTGGGTCTGGTGGTCTGTTTGGCTGAAGTGTGGCTCACGGTTGATGCTCTCGGATACCTTGGCATTACCACATTTTATGCGAGGGCTGCTGCTTAAGCGGAGGTTGGATCATTTGTATCTCAGACTATCATTTGTACTTTCTTTACTCTATTCGAGGGTCCATGGTGATTTGTGAAGATAATTTTCCTCCTATCGCCAGCTGGATTCCTTGCAGGTTATAATGTGTTCACAAGCTAGGCTGGTCAGTTAGTAGTGCTGCAGCTTTCTGACAATGCTTGTTCTGCAAGGTGTGAAATGACAATAAAAACTCAATTCCCTACTGAAACTTATGTATGTAGCCGTGTTATTGAATAGTGACCTTTTCTTTTTTCTTTTTACCACTATTGAGGGAGAAAACCTATTCTTTTCACCTCCAATTCTCTTAATCAACTCAGTGTTTCTTTTATTATGTAATATTGTGATTGCAAGAAACACTGGTGTTGCAGTGGTGATGACAGTCGTGTATTTGATGAAGAAAGATGGTTGCCAGTGAATCTGTACAAGGTAATGTATATTCTTGATGTTTGTAGGGTTGTAGCTTTTCTTTTTTCCCCTCCCAGAATCGCATATTACGGTTCTCCAAGATCAGGTGGTTGCTCTGAAACTTCAAAGATATTATTGTCTTTTCTCTGTAGGGAAAACAGTGTTCTTTGATTTCCTTTTCTACTTTAATCGCTTGGTAGCTCATGGCTGCAATAAAAAATAGAATCAAGGGTACTCGTAACTCCGCATAACAAACCTTATTAAGTTCTCTGAAATAAGCTTTAGTTAGCTCTATTTTGCTTTCTGTTCACCTTTTATACCCGAGCTTTAGTTCCAAAGTGCTTTAAACACTTTGTTAGGCTTTCATACTTAAAACTAAAATTTCATTGTTTGTGTCAATCTTTTAAATAAACTTTTACTGGGAAAAGTTTTGCGAGTGACTTGTGGAAGGATTTTTATGGATCAGCCAGTTCTTGTTGAATCCTTGAAAGTTTTATCTTACACTTGAACATGTGCATCGTTCGAAGATTCTGACATTTTATCATGATTTTAGCCGGGGATGGCAGTATTCAAGCTTTAACTCTTTCCCGGAGACATGCAGGATACAAGTAATGGTTCTGCAAGCGGGTCAAGGTCCGGGTCATTTTCAAAAGACTGAAACCTATTCCGGATTTTGCATTGGACATGTATATGCAACTTTCTAAAGGTTTTTGGTAATGTATAGCTTCCTGTCTCAGCCTGTTAGTGGACAAGCATCGATATCAAGTGGTTGCAGAAAGAACACTCGCGTGGTCAAATTGCTCTTATGGCATTTTGTCCACATCTGGACCGTGCATTGTAGTGCCGATCCATATTCGAGAAGCTTTAAACAACAGTCCATAAGACCGTGTAACAAGATTCCAACAAGTATGTAGTGCTAAGACCTCATCAGAAAAGCTTATTATACACACTAGATGTAAAACAAATTAAGAGAAGCCTGTGTTCAGTTTCTTCTCAAATCAATTGCATAATATTCACTATATGGCAGAAAGGGTAAACCTGTATGATACACCAAACAGTCATTCAGGACTGAAAATTACAGTCTTCCCAAGAACAAAGGTAACGAGAGAGAGCTCAATGAAGAAAATCGTGTTAATTAGATGCCTGTCTACTGTCCACCCGAATATCGTTATCCCTCCTGGATTCATCTGCAAATACAACACTGCAACAACATTCATCTATAATCAGCCAATCATGACTCGGTTTGAATTGCAAACAATGGAAAGAAAAGAAAAACAATCATCTCACCAAAAGCTTGTCTTTTATGGTATGCAGACATGGACATGTAGGAAGGGGACTGGTTGTTATTATTATTAGCAGGCATTCTCATGTAGTGATCCATTGACTCCACATCGCTTTCTGAACGTGAAATTGGAAAGGAGATTGGTGGATTCGTGGTGGCCTCCAAGTGAGCTCCACTAGGAGAAGTCCTTATTTGAGTTGCATCTGTAGATGAGCAAGACATCATAGCATGCCATTTACTTGCAACCGATGCTATAGCTTGAGCTCTGTGAGATATCTTTGTTGCTGCGTGCAGACATAAAATGATCCCAACAACTTGGACCACCGCCGAGACCTGAACACAAAGCTTTAACCTCACCGTACATCAAGAAACCAGTAAAGAAGAAGAAGAAAAGCTTTACTTACCGCGAAGTCACCACCGTTTATATACGTGATACGTCCACTATACGCAGTTGTCTGGAAAAGTGTAGTAAACTGGCTAACGGTGACGACCAAAAACTGTAGAAGCAGGAAGATGCGGAACCTGTGGCTTATCTTGGAAAGGTAATGACGCAAACGGATGTGTTCGTAGATGAAAAGAGAGATCTCAGACTCTCCGTCTAAGAGCTTTGCGTAATCTTCAAAGTGAATAACTTGCAAGTTACAGACCAGATGAAACATGGCACTTGCAGCTAGAAAGATAGTGCTTAAGTAAGTCCATGACAAGATCATAGACAAGAGGATAAAAACAGAGAGCCATGGCTGGTCATGAGGCACATATAACATCCGAATAATCTCACGAACAGCTTTTAATCCAAAACAGGGGAGTGACCAAAGTGCAAGCAGTTTCACAGAGTTCTGTAATAAAAGGAAAAAAAACAGAAAAAGGTTTCAGCTTTCAATCCAAAACAGGGGAGAGACCAAAGTACAAGCAGTCTAATAGAGTGCTGTAATAAAGGAAAGACAAATAAATGTCAGCTTTCAATCCAAAACAGGGGAAGACCAAAGTACAAGCAGTCTCACAGAGTTCTGTAATAAAGGAAAAACATAAAAAGGTTTAAGCTTTCCGACAACCCATAATCTAACACAGAGTTCTGTAATAAGGAAACACAAAAATCATTCAGCTTTCCGACAACCCATGATCTATAACAGAGTTCTGTAATAAGGAAAACACACAAAAAAGGATTCAACTTTCATGCAACCCATGATCTATAAAGAAACAAAGATAGAAATAATCACCGAGATTTGCTGAATATACTGAGCCTTGAGACGTCCCATGCGACCACTAAGCTGATCAACAAACAAAAACTTCCGAATCCCATGTTTTCTCAAGTTATGAGAAACGCAAAGCAGAGAGACACCAGCCAAACACGCCTGCGAGACGACGATGTTGAGCTCGAAGCTCTTGTACTGATACCTCTCACAGTCTTTACAATGCCCTAGCTCCAACACTGTCACCGGAATCACCAAACCCACCGTCAAGAACACGATCCAAGACAAGACAAGGCTTCTTGTCGAGGTTTGGTTAAACCCGAGGAGCGTTAGAAAGGTCTCGAGGTATTGGAGGGTTTGACCGAGGTCTTCGTCGTCGACTCCGGAGAGAGGCTGTTGTTGTTGTTGCTCTTCTTGATCGTGATTTGGATCGAGCAAGGGCGTTTCTGGTAGTGGTTGATTAGTTGACATCAGAGAGTGAATGAGTTTATAGAAATTCAAAGTCGCAAGGGGAAACATCGGAGCTCGTTTAATGGCGGTTTCGATCTCTCATTTTAAAATCGCGTTGATCAGATCGACGGTTGTGAATCATTCCGATTAATCTGAAATCGGGAACTGGAAAAAAGAATTAAATTAAGGAAGTGGTAATGATCCAAGAATCGAGGGTTTGGCATTTAGCGGGTGTCTGTTGTGTTTATAAAATTAATTTATCTGATGACTGTGTTTTAAGCCGTTAGATTGAAACTTACGAGTGAAGTTTCAACGGTTGATGGTGGATGAGGAACATAACTGATAGAGTGAGACCAGTACCACCTGATTATTCATTTCGGATATTGTGATCTGATTTCTACTTTACAGTATTACACCGTTTGATTTGGGTTCTATACAAGTATACATGATTTCTTTTTGTTAATACTATATGATACTAATATTTTTGTTAATACTGTTCATGGTGTTAAATAATAAAAACTTATCTTATTAATTATGAAAACCATTATGATGTATGATCTGCAGATAATACCTGCATTAGATCTTTTTCTTTTAATATCATCACCAACGTTTTTGCTTTGTTTATTGAGGAGGTGGTCACCCAGGCCTGCAAGTGTTGCCTTTTGTTTCAGTCTTCGAGAATCAGATCCCATCTCTTTATACTATTAGTATTGAGCATATACCATTATTATATTTTCTGACGTCATGCAAATAGAAAAATTAAACTAAAATAGTATTTGCGTGATCTGTTCAATAGCGTGTGTGCACGCACGCACTATACGAGTAAACAATACGAAGCCCATATCTAAATGCAGCTACAAAAGGGTTGACAAAAAAAAAAAAAATGCAGCTACAATATTCACATGAATCACATTTTACTTCTAAAAAACTTTATCTGCTTCAGAAATTGATTTGAGATAAGATTATGCTATTAAAATGGGTTTAGGTGACATGTTCATATTTATTGTTGGTAGTTGGAAATTATAGTTGAACAGTAATCGTTGAAAAGCTACTGTGATTACAAAGACGTCACAAGATGACAAGAATCATGCATAGTTGTTTGTGTAGACTATTCTTTTCTGTTTATTATTTGCAATTTGGTTTAAAGTGTCCCTTGTTTATTAACTATGATAATGATATTACCGTTCATTACTTTTCACGAGATGTTTTTTTTGTCAACTTGTTTATGAGATGTATATCCTGGTATATAATAAAAGTACACTCATTTTTTTCATTAATAAATTTACCTTTTGTTACGGTCAGCCCTCAAACTTTATTTAAGGATGAACCTTTTGTGTTTATCTGTAACTAGTAATTTGACCTGCTATGCATGGGCATAACTGTAATGTATTTTGACCCATTTTGCTCAAAAAAAAGAACTGTAATGTTTAATATTACTCCAATCTAAACTCCATCTGAACCAGAAAATTATACATCTCATCAATATTTAATTGTAATATTATTAACTCTGAACAAATAGAGTAAGATTCCACAAATAAAACTGTGGAAATAATGAGTTTTGGTATATTTACTTATGTTCCAATTACACAACTTGCGTCAGATCACAAAAAGCAAATTCTAACACTTTTCTATATCAAATCCAGAAAGCATATGATTTTTAGTAACTTAAATAATGACAAACAATCGTATACAAAGAAAATAACATAAATATGTATTTTCTTAGTTTTTATATGATTGATTTTTACCAAAAAAACTCATGGTTTGACAATGGATTATTACAACAATACGACATTTGCTCACTTCTATTTCTGATGGAACAAAAATAAAACATAACAAAATACTCATACTCAGACTTTATTCTAGTGTCATTCTTAAAATTGTCAATTGACTTCTGCTCTATAGTATAAAAGATGATGTAACTGCACCGAGATGCTGTTTTTAATTTGACAAAAACGAACAAATACTCCTTCCATTTCTGAAGATAAAAGCTCCAAGTTGTCTCCCAGTTTCCAACCCAATATCTCCACAAAGATGGGCCCAGTGGGCTCTTCGTACCAAAAGTAATAAGGTACGAAGATAAAACAGAAGAAAAAACAGAACCGCTAATTCAAAAGCGCTCCAGCTAAAATCGAGATTAACCGCTTACTTCCCCTTGACGCTAAAAAAAGTACGTATAAAATCCTCAAAACCAACACAACCAAACTTAAAAAAAAAGCAAAAAAAATTCTCAAAAACAAATATTTTCATCTCAATCTGCATTAGTATTCAATCCTCAAAAGATGGTATGTAAATTCTCTATATTCCTACGCTCTCTTACCATGTTGGTTAAAATATTACAATGTATGTTTTTTAGCAGAACAAACAAGAAAGAAGGTGGCCAAGACCTCGACCTCTTGAGACCTCTGGTTCTACGTTACTCGCCATGTCTCGAGTCATTTTCACAAGAATCAATACACTGAAGAATCCAGCATCTTTCCTTGTCCAGAAACTCTTCCAGCTAATCCTCTTCTTCGCGTCCATGACAAGTCCCTTTCATCGCCACCTTCTCGCCATTCTCACTGTATCCGACGATCACATCCTTGCCGTGCAAGACACCATCGAAACTTACTTCCCTTCTTCCACCTTCGCCTTCCTCAAGATCTCCAACTTGCTGAACCTATCAGAGTCTCTTCCCAAGAAACTCGATACCTTTCTTGAGAAGTTTCCAAGTTTAATGAACCGAGCCACGTGGCTAGACTGGATCTTGATTCACGCCATTTATTGTCTTGATTACCTTGTGAATGTTTTGGGACGTTGGAGATATAAGAACAAGGGGGAAAATGAGAAAGAGATCACGGTGGATAGGAGTTACAGCAGAACAGGATCAAACTATGAAGAGGAGATGAAGTTAGGGAATGATGGGAAAAAAGTGACGTACAAGGAGGTGTTACAGAGAGGAAGCAGCGGAGAGGATGGTGGAGGAAGCACTGGTCGTAGCAGCAGCAGTGGCGGCGGTGATCCTATTTTGGAAATGTTTGAGAACGGTTGGATTACAAAGCCCATCAAAAGAAGTAGCAGAAGCGCTGATTCGCTCACTTGCTCTCGGTCTGATTCCTGTGAGACCACAACATGAGGTCTCTTTTGTTTCTGTAGCAACACTAACACAAACAAGAAGCAATAGACTATATTTTCCTAATTGACCTTTATAACTCTTTTGTTTATCTCTTTGCATATATATCATATTCTAAGTAGCACAACCTTTGTGTGTTTGTATAAAACATAGAAGCTATAAGGATGTTTGAAAATGGCTAGTATAATTTATATGTTTAATGTTTTATTTTGGTAGGTTTGTTTTATTATAATAGTAACTTCATATATATTTTTTTGGCTAACAAAAAAAATCAGCAAACGAACCAATGGGGGGGGGGGGGG